CCCATAAATTTATCTTGAAAACTATATTTTAAACACCATTTCAAGTTTCATTTGATTTTGTTTTACAAAACAAATGCTCCGGCAAAACTTTAAATACAGTTTGCTGGAGCTTCATCTCACATGTTTCACGGACACCTATGGTAATGCATTAAGTCTACAAACAAATTATCTTTGGGTGATTTTGTTAAAATGTATATGATATTGATTATAAACATTACTTGTATGTTAGATATTCCAGAGCTCATTAAATCAAGCAAAACATTTTCAAATGCAGAGACCATAAATGTTATAATAATATGTTGTAATAAAAACACATTAAACAGTTATATATTTAGTTTTTGTAACTCAAGAATTGCTTTTAAATAAAGTTCACTTACTGCATTACTGATTGCATTAACAAAGCATTTTTACAAATAACTGCAGCATTGGCTGATGTGTATTTAACATAGCAGTGACAGTACTTCATTGTTATTTTAGTTTACAAATAGGCATTTTTATAATAGCCCATAGTGATCCCCTGATTAGATTTGGGATCCGTTATTACTCTTTTATTAAATACACTATTAATAGACAACGTGATTCTCAGATCTGGTAATATGGTATGTAAATATCATGCTAGTAATCTAGGGTTCTTTTCTAAACTAAACACACAGTACACTGGGGACAACAATATCCATGAATTGATGCTTTACGGATGGTGAGAACCATTTGGCTTAACCCGTCAAGTTAATGGGTATCTTCCTGGTAATAGTACACAGAGGCTTGAACCCCAGTCAGACTGAGTGACCAAAGGGGTAGCCGCAAGGTGGATGGGGCAGAGGAGGGATGCTTGAGACGAATGAAAAGGGAGGTGTTTGAGTTCTATAAATGTAGCTACTGTAGTTTTGTAATTCTGTGTATTGATGGTGATTTAGTACAGCTGTGCGAGATTGACGTGTCGTTGTTATACCTCCCGAATTTCAGTTTCGTTAAAACTTTCTTTAAACGGGACTTCATGGATCAAAGTTGCATGTGATTTCAGGTTCGTCTCATTTTTGCAAAAACAGTTAAGAAGATACATTGAATAGAGTAAAAAAAGCGAATGTATTGTCTCTTTTACTGTGTGTTACTCCAGATGGAATACAGAATCCCTATTTTCTCTACAAATGAAAAGAGCCAGCTACAATTAACATATTCTGCCTTTAAAACTGTTTTTTTTACTAATTTTATCTCCAAGTGGTAAATAAACATTCTGTGTGATTTATATTATTAATTATCTGCAATGAGTATCTGATTTATCTTTAAGGCTTTCAAATATTATGTTTGCTTCTTACACAGAAATGGCTGCAATTTTTTTTTTTTAAAGTTCATATGCAATTATGATCATTAAGCATCTGGAATTATGGATTAATTTACTTAAAGTTTCATCCACGGCTCGGAACCTTGGGAAGCTTCTCAAAGCTTGCTGGGAACGTAACTAACCTTGTCAGAGATTTGTGATCTTGTTTCTTTGACAGCTAGAACATTCCACAATTTTAAGTAATCTGGTTAATTGCTGATGGTGAAATTTACAGATGTGTAGGCTCACATATAATCTGAATAGTGTTGATATGAAAGAAGATGGTCTATTTGATTATAGCCATCAGGTGCAGCAAATTGTCCTGTTTTGAGCAACGTGAGCAAGAAAAACAGAAGAGCATTAAACAATAGCATTGATAGCTTACCATGGACACTGTGAACTGAAGCAATGTGTGGCATGCAGTTGTCAAATCCTTCCCTGTTTTCTGGTGAGGATTTGGGGACAGTCAGCAGGGAACGAGAGGTACTCCACCAGCTCTCCCTGGCGGGCTGAGGAGTGCCCAGAAAGTACCTGCCAGCCTCACACCTGCCCCCATCACAGGCCTGGCTGTGGTAATGGGAGTGCCTTTCTTCACTCAGTCTGGCAGCATGGTCGAGGGTAAAACCGTAACACAGAGAGCTGCGGTCCGAATACTGTCTGTAGGCACAGGAGACGTCAGGGTGTTGGGAGTGTGGTCCCTCTCCGTGATCCAACAGTTGGGGGGAGGCAGAATCAGTCAACGGACTCCCACCCCACTGGCTCTCATGGTCAGACTCTGACCTTTCAGTGTGAAATCCAGAATACTACAGGATTCCAAAGAAGACAACAAGTTATTTTAAACAGAAGCACTCTTCTTAATCTACTGAGCTAACTGCACAAAATTAAATAAGAACGTTCATTCACTCTTATTGTTTTGTGTCACTCTACTTATTGCAGCAGATTTTCTAACTGTAAAAAAAAGGAGCCGCTTTTTAAAATGACCTTTGTTCGTCTAGTTTCTGGTTTATCATAGAAAAACAACATCAGGGTTTAACGTTTCAAATTAGTTTCCTTTGATCTCCAGACAAGCCGTCAGTTCAAGTAAAATGGTCTTTACTTAATAACTATATTCTGTGTTATATTCAAATGAACCTCTGTCGTGCCTTTTGAAGTGTTGTTTTACCTGTGGGTATGGAGAAGCTCTGGCTTTTGACTTAGTTCGGGCCACACGGGATTTGCTTGGTTTCCTGCTGTCCGTGATTGTGGGTGTAGAGTTTGCGTAAGAAAATGATGGCTTGTTTGATGTCACTTGGTCTAATGATAGCTGTAGTCCCTTATATTCTGTTTCCCTGTATAGTGATAAACAAAAAGACAAGTACATTTAAACTTTTACAAATCAACAAATTGGATACAAAATTGATTTGGCCCTGCTCTTTCCAATTGTGCTTTCAGGTTAAAATATCTTTATCACAAATTCATTATGCTATTGGTCTCAACACTCACTTGTTATATACTTAATATCTCTTAGACTAAATTAATACTTGTTTTTAGATATAGTGAACAAAGGAGGGTATTTGAGGCGTTATATAATTTGAAACATCAATGTAGTTCACAAAGAAAATAAATATGCCAATATTTAGATTCACTCAAAACACTGACATGTCTTCATA